CGTTCCGTAGCTCAGTTGTGAAAGCGTCTGGGACGACATACTTGAAGGCACTGGTTCGAATCCAACCGGATCGAAGGAATTTGTCTTAGTGTTCGATCTTTCTACCAATAAATATACCAAATATTTGGATACGCCGTGAAGCATTGCTTTCGTTCATTTTTATGAACATCTATTAACTTTGACTCTAATTTCCAAATTATTAAATACAGGATAAAGTACTATAACACTAACATATTTCAGATGGTAATTGTAATGTTTTTCCACGAATTTGTATGATGTAAGCATGATCCCCAGGTGTATTTGAAATGTAATAAGTGACGTAAATTGTGTAATATACATTACAAGTTTAGATTTTATCGATATCGATCATTGTTTTATCAGAGTTATTGAAATCCTTAGCTACGCAAGACCAATCAGATGTCTGAATCACGCGGTTCGTTAGCCCAGAGCTCATTGTGAAATAGTTCTTCCAGGGAAGTACTGTCAGCTTACTTATTTCTGTTATCCAGCAGTAATGTGATCATTACTGCCTTTCCGTTTTAAAGGGTAAGGGAACTGGAGAAATACTAGGCACATGGAACTTATCAACTTATATCTGAGGGTGACGGGTGCAGTGACAGTGCAACTATTATGGACAGGTGTGCCGCGTTCTCAAATTAAGTGACCTTAACAATATTTAGGAATATAAAACTTTTTTAAATTGCAACAAAATTATGAGATATGTAACAATCAATCCCATAAATGAGAATGGGAGCGAGACAGAGATATTTAGAACTCTAAAAATCGAGAAAGATAGGTTGCGAGTTTCCGTCAGAGCTAGTAACGTGCGCGTAGTGTTGCGACTTGAGCGATCTGAAAAGAAAAATATTACGCTTGTAAATTTAAACATTTACATAAAGAAGGCAACAGACCAAAAGCCAGTAAACATTGCACCACCCTTGTGTAATGAGGCCACATCTGCAAAATGACAATTATTCAGGAGAGAAGTTGAAGGATTCTAAGAACGAAATTTGTCGATAATTTCTGAAATTTCACATATAAATAATTTGTGTCGTGTAGTTCGTATCCAAGCAACGTCTGTCTACTGTGGTACAAAGTCGCATCCTGAAGTTCTTCAGACAAGTCTCAAGATGGAACTTTGACTCCATAGAGCGTCTTGTCGTGTAAGACATAGTAGAGGGATCTAGACTGCGTCGAAGGTCACTCACGCGATGGGCCGACCAAATAAAGTTTGCAGTGGGTGGTCTTTTGCATGAGGGAGTCTACTAACAGAGAGATATGGCGAGATATCGTGAAACGAGCGACATCAGCCCCCAACAAACATGCTCCGTGGTGACCACAACCGCTCTGTCAAGAGTGCTACGAAAAAAAAGAAGTTCGCAATCTAATGCATCTTAAGTCGTTGCTCAATTCCTGCACATACAATATTTATGTGTAGATTTCACGAATATTTGTCTATTATTATGTTGTAATTACAATAAAGTGTTTATTGAATATTGAATTGATTCAATGCACATGTTGTTCGTTCAGAATTTAACTCATTAGTTTAGTAGATATAGAGATAGTTGATAGACAACACATACCGAAGCATAACGTGAAAAGAAACATGTAGATATTGTATACCATTTAAGGAATATAATAAAAAACCGCAATCTAACCTAATTGTAAACATTCGATATCCACGTGCCATACAGTATCTATTGTGGATTAGTACATAAGGATTTTTTTTAAATTTAAAAATACAGTATGTATTCGGACCTCGATCGTTGCATTTCGCCCAACATCATATGAAGTCATGACCGCTTACTTATCGTAAGCGACATCGGTACCTTAACAGCCTTTTTTATTGCAAATGATATTTTAAACTCTAACGGACAAGGACGCGTCGACATTTCCCACGAAAATTTCATCAAATAACAATTATAGCAAAAGCTTAGTTTATCGTTAGCTCAACTGTTGTAAAAACTCATAACGTTATCGCAACCGATGATAGTACATCACTTTTTCGATAAACAAAGTGGCAAAAACGTGTTGCACCTTTTTCCATATTTTTAATCCTTAAACGCCTGAAAGCCTCAAACATCTATGATAGAGATAGCAAAAATATTGTAAACGCCAAAAAGGCGTAGTACCCATTGTTATAAAAAAATTACTATCACACAATCGGTTATGAAACTTATTATTATATATTAAAATTCAATTTAATATCACATTTATAATATGTAGAAATATTTAAAGAAAATCCTCTCTTGTAAAATTTGTTTTTTGTCGCTTACACTAAGTCGGCGGTAATGGCTCGATTTAAGGCACCACCGCCCTTTATCCTACGGCAAGGAAACAATGCAACGATTAAAGAGAAACAATACAAACACAGGCACAGCAGACATAAAATCTTATGTCTCACAGCCATCAATGCATTTGCAGCACGAAGGACTTCCTTGGTAATGCAAAGGTCTATAGGGGGCGGTTACCAATTTCCATTGTAGTTTCTGACCTTAATTAATAGACTGTCTGGGAAACCCAAGGGCCGGTAACTACCTTGCCCAACGCATTAGCATAGCCATAGAAAGGGGCAACGCTACCAGCCTAGAGCACCTTGCCGCGGGGACACAATTTTATTCATATAATTTATTTAATCCTATTTTTACTTTCTAGTACTTAAGCTTTTATCTACCGTACCTGTATATTTCAACTTATTATATAATAAAAACTTTCTGATCTTTGCAGATTTGAACACCATTAAAAATCTATTAATATACCTAATTTGTTTTCATAAAGACTGCTTGATAGTAGCTCCCTGAAACGGCAGACTTCTTCCCGCAGTCTATCGCTGCTCATGCAAGGTACAAACAACGGCACGTAGCTCATTGTTACCACACCTATGTGACTCCCGGTTTCGTATAGGTCCTGTATAAACAGATCAAAATTACATTCAATTAGAAATAAGTTCGAGGGGGTTAAAGTTCGATGAACATGTGCTACGGATTTTTTTTTGTAAATAATAAATAACGCATACACTCAACATAGCCCCGCACTAGGGAAACCCTGTCTCGCAGGTGCTATGGACACACACATAGACAACCACAAATTACACCCAAACTCACGAAAGAAATAAATGCAGGCCATACAAATATTTCTCCCGGCTCGGAATCGAACCTGGGACCTCTGCGTGGCAGTCCTGCATGGCATCCGTTCGGCCACAGAGGCAGTTTAGGAACAAATTTTCACCAAAATAATATAAGTCAGTCCATAGATTATTTTTATTTGATATATTGTTTAGTTTCACACTTAATAATTATGTTAGGGGCATTTCTCCTAGAAGGACTAAGTACTCTGTCTGACTTCGGTGGTCGAATGTTTTTTTTTCTTAATTTTAGGAAAAACACTGAACGAGCAGGAAAAAAAACCAAACTTATATACACACATCAAAAGTGTCTAGGGATCAAGTACGTTTAAGAGTATTGCTGCCATTAGGGTTAATTATATTAACTTTTTTGTATCGCTATTGATACTTTTTAGTGAGTTTTAACATTTAAATAAGGAATATTGTTTAAAATTCGATAATAAGAAGAAAATCGATTGTCAATGTGGTTTTGTATAAAAATGAGTTATAGCGTTTTGACAAAATCATTACAATATCTGCATCGGAACCGAAACAATTTACATTATTATGGAGAGACGACATCATTTAACCCGAGAAGTGATGATGCGAGCCGTCGGAATGTTGGAAGCTGGTTCCAGGCAACGTGCTGTGGCTTTCACTCTTAACACTACACAGAGCGTCATAAGTCGCCTCTGGACGCGCTATCGCATGACGGGCAGCGTGGCCGAGCGACATGGAGGACGATCTCGCATCACGACTCGCAGACAGGACCGGTATATCCAATATACTGCTCGACGGAATCGTACCATGACCGCCATGATGTTGGTTACGAGGCTCCACAGCTCCTCAGGCTTGCTAATAAGCGATCAAACAATCCGAAATCGTTTACGTGAAGTGGGTCTGCGATCCCGAAGGCCGCTCAGAGTTCCACCTATTGCACCCTGCAATCGCAGGACCCGTTTACGATGGGCTCGCGAACACAGAAACTGGGAGGAAGAAGACTGGCGCTATGTGTGCTTTTCGGATGAATCCCGCTTCGGTATGAGACCGGATACAAGACGTACTCGAGTTTGGAGAACATCTGGACGTCATGAACGTTTGAGATATTGTCAGGAAGTTCATCCGTATGGTGGGGGAACAATAATGATATGGGCCGGTATTTGGATCGGCGGAAGAACCGATCTCATTTGGATCAGGGGTAATCTCAATGCTAAAGTTTACGCAGAGAGGATTGTTTCAGATGTTATCATCCCTTTGCGAGGCCAGTTGGGTGATTCATTTCAACTAATGCATGACAACGCACGTCCACACACGGAGTCGTAACACGCATTCTTGCCGAAGCTCGTATCAACGTTCTGCCGTGGCCTGCTCAATCGCCAGACCTCAATCCAATTGAGCACGCATGGGATATGCTTCAAAGAAGAGCTGTGCCGAGTATGCATACCGTACATACTCTACAACAATATTTTGACTTGTTACAAAACGCATGGGCGGCCATTCCTCAAAGTGTGTATTTGCGTGTATTTGCCTCCAAGTTGTAATGATGACCATTATCTGAACACATTAACATGTATAGAAAATGTAATTTGTTCATATCCTGACTTTGATGCTTTAGTTTTAGGTGACTTTAATTTAAATTCATTTTCCAATAATGTTAAAACACAATTTGATTTCTTCTGCGAATTTTGTAAGTTGCAAGATCATAATTCAGTGCTTAATAGTTATGGCGGAAAATTAGACTTAATGTTGAGTGATCTTGCCTCTGATCAGGTCAGTTGCTTGCGACCCCCTAGTGCCGATAGATGAATATCATCCCGCGCTGGATCTGACTATAAGACTGCAGCGTGCTGCTAGGCCTCCGCCATCTTCTTGCCCTCGTACCCGGAAACAACAGGGTATGTGTCTCGATTGGAATTGGCGTAAAGCTGACTATCAGGCGTTATACGCGGCTTTAGGTGAAATCGACTGGGCCGACATGTTTGAACTATGCCACGTTGATGGGGCTGTTGAGTTCTTCTATTCGAAGATATACGAGTGTTTTAATAGTTTTGTACCTTTTCGAATGATTAACCAACGTGCTAATCGTTTCGTGTATCCAAAATGGTATTCTGGTGAAATTATACGCTACTTAAAATACAAGCATTATCATCTTAAAAAATATAAGGCTGAGGGAAAGGAATATAACAAAGAAATGTTCAAATTCTATAGGTGGCACGTTAAAAAACTAATTAATGACGCATATCGACAACATATAAGTAGTTTGCAAAAAAATATATTTAATGAACCAGCCAGATTCTGGGGATACGTTAAAGATAAAAGAAAAGATAGGCAAGGAGTTGATGTATATTCCTACGACGGTGAGGAAGTGTCCGGTCAGGCTGCAGCTGACGCTTTCGCGCAATATTTCAGCTCAGTTTTCCAATCTGACCCGCCACGCCTGGATTTTGAGGACGCCGCTCGAACTGCCCATTCATTAGCAGATGCTAGGGACATAGCTATCCTGGGTGTGAGCGAGTCCGATTTTAAATTTGCTATTAAGCGTCTAAAAGCTAAATCTGTGGTGGGTCCTGATGGTGTACCAGTGTTTCTCGCGAAGGATTGTATGTCAGCAATTCGGGCACCACTGCTTTTTATCTATAACCTCTGTCTTAACTCTACTAAATATCCGCACTGCTGGAAGTTATCATGTGTAACACCAGTCCCGAAAGGAGATGCTAAAGGTGATATAACGCAATACAGGCCTATTGCAGTACTTTCAGTTTTTGCAAAAATATTTGAGTCAATCCTTAACAATCAATTCAGTATGCAAATAGATAGTTTGTTGCACAACAGCCAACACGGCTTTCGTAGAGCTCGATCAACTACAACTAATCTAGTAGGGTTGTTGGATTATGCATCGGCAGAAATGGATGCCGGACGTCAGGTGGACGCTGCATACTTTGATTCTAAAAAGGCGTTTGACCTAGTGGACAATGACATACTGTTGAGGAAATTAGCGTCATTGGGCTGTACACCTAAGCTCTTGCGGTTTTTTGCCGATTACTTAGACAATAGGCGCCAGTTCGTAAAAGTGCAGGGATTTGCTTCAGCAGAGTATTACACAAGATCTGGCTTGAGTCAAGGGAGTACTCTGGGTCCGACTCTATTTTTGCTAATGATAAACGATTTACCTCAGGTTATAGGTACTGCTCGATGTCTTCTTTTTGCGGATGATCTCAAGCTGTTCTTAGGCGTGAATGATATTGCAGATACAACTGCCTTGCAAGCGGATATTGATGCGGTGTCGGAGTGGAGTTTAGCAAATCGTATGCCTTTTAATAATACGAAATGTAAAGTTATTACTTACACCCGCAAGCACTGCCCAAGATTGACTCAGTATAAATTATTTGACGCCTGTATAGATAGAGTTTTTGACATTTGTGACTTAGGAGTAACATTAGATAGTAGATTGGACTTTCATTTACATGTGACAACAACCTGCAAAAAGGCGAATAGTATTTTAGGCTTTATTTTACGGACCTCCTATGAGTTCAATGACGTGGCTGTGGCGAAGGTGTTATATAACGCCCACGTACGCAGCAAACTGGAATATGCAGCAATAGTTTGGGATCCTCATGAAGCCAAATACTCTATTATGGTTGAACGTGTTCAGCGTAAATATGCACGATGGCTCTATAGACGGCAGTACGGGTATTACCCATACCTGTATCCATCATACTTCGTTGCGGGCATGGTGGGATTAGACACTTTATCTCGTAGGCGTAAGATGCTTCTACTGGCTCACTACATTGCTGCGTTTCATCATAAGGTGGATAATAGCATTATGTCCAAGGTAGACTTGCTGGTACCTGTGCGTGTGCCTTGGGGTGATGAGGGTGCAGTGGCGCCGCGCCGTAGGCCGCGGCTTTTACACAAGCCCGTCACTCGCACGGTACACGCTTCGAACGCGCCTACCGTTCGCGCAATACGCCTGATCGGAGACTTGCTCACTCAATATGACCATATCGATTTATTCGCTGATAGCTTTGCTTTTATTTATAGAGAATTTTGTAAATTTTTAGAACATTAATTTAATTTTTAATTTTATTTTTGATTTAATTTTTTATTTTTGATTTAACCTAATTTTTATTGACTTTGTATTTTTGACTTGTAAGCGTGTTGGCTATTTAGCTGTAAGTTTACAATGTAAATAAATAAATAAATAAATAAATAAATAAAGTGATTTTGATGAACTCATCTTAAGCATGCCAAATCGCTGTAATTGTGTGATTCGTGTTAATGGTGGAAATACAGATTATTAATTTTCTTATCTTTACAATAACAATGAGCAAAATCATCATTTTCGCAATTTTTTTGTCATTTAATTGACGCCGTTAATTTGAGTTTTTTCCCACAATTTGCAAAAACATCAATTTTAGTTTATTTTAATTAAATATATTGGTAAGCGGTTAAATAAAACATAAGCATTAAAGTAAGAAGTCGTCCTGGAAGACTGGATTTGGTAAATATTGCTTAAATAATTTTTATTTCAAAAATATTCACTTGATCCCTAGACACTTTTGATGTGTGTAGATTCCATTAATTAGGCAAGTAAATTCTTAACAGTTAATGACATATTTGATCCACCGAAATCAGGATAATTTAACAAAAGGCATAATTTTTGTGTAAAATATTATGAAATTGGCTATAAAAACGTTCAATAATCTACATAAACGTTTACTAATATGACTAACTATTAAATCAAGCTTCAAAAACTATAGTTTTTTTTATAGCAAACAAATTTTACCTTACGACTATTAATTAAAATCTGTTTTCAGTTTGGCTGTTCAGCCGTTTTTCAATAACACAAAGTATTTATGTGTCTTTTAAAAAAAAAATTAGGATGCAATCCGTAGCTACAAAAGCAATCAATTATTAGAACTTGCGCGATTAATATCTTTCATTACTTTCTTTTATACATGACGTGGTATTTCATGCAACTTCAAAATCATTCCTTCTTTTCCTTCAAAACTTTCATATACAGGATGATGAAAAAACCACTGACCATTTTAAAGGAGCATACTGTATAATGGAATAATACATACAGTTTTTTTAGGTAAAAGTCTGCACTTATTTGTAGTATTAGTCCCACTTCCCGTTCTTATTGTTATGGTTACTAAAATTGTCCTCAACTGTATTATATAAAAATAAGGAGCGTACTCACTGACGTATCCATAGCCAACATTATTAAATAATTCGATGACATTAAGAAGTACACAAACGATGTTACTACGTTTGTTAAAATCTGAAAAAATAACAATTGTCATAATTAGAAAACTTGAAAGCTAGTATATTCATTTTTTCACTGAATGTAACAGCCATAAGACACTATACACCGCGATAAAAGGATTCATCGCATTGTTGCCAGATGGTTACTTATGTGTACTCCAAAACAGTTTACGACTGTGCCCTAGTTAAATAATATAATATTAATAATTAACAATAATTCAACACATTAATAAGTAAAAAGAAATATAAGCTCGACACTGTGTTTAGTAACAATAGTGGTGTAAGATAAAAAGGTCTGTAGCTCAGCACAATGACGGAGTGTTTCACAACGCCGCTGATATTCTGCTACAGCCTGCCATGTTCATAAAAAGATGAAGAAGAACTAATACACATTATCATTCTACACATTAATAAATAACTCTGAGGTGGCGCTAACAAAATTAAATCAATCAATGGTTAATTATGGCACGATTTTTCTAGAGCCTAATTACATTTTTTTTATTTTTAAGATTTAGGATATCTATATTTAAACTTTAATTAAAATAATCTCAGTACAGAGTACTAAAAAAACCAACCTCAAAAGTACGTGGAATTACGTCTATTTGCTAAGTTTTATTGAAATATCCCCTAGTTCGACACTATACAGGGCTTGACACTGGAGATAATAAAAATCGGTTCTCACTACTCAAAGTATATTGAGAGAAAAACGCCTTGAATTGGAGAAATAGCAAAATTAACCATTAAAATAATTGCTTCTAAATTAAAGTTAGGCGCTATTTATAGAAATGAATCTTCATGCGTTAACAGCCACCCTAGAGGTGGAGGATTTTCTTCAAAATGAAATGGGACTACTATGGAAGTACCCCATTTCCAACAAAAAAAGAATCATGACAATCGGTTCACAAATACCGGAGTTATCGCGTAACATATATACAAAAAAGAAACATTCAGTCGAATTGAGAACCTCCTCTTTTTTGAAGTCGGTTAAAAAAGAACTTGTAAAATGTAACTTTTGCAGTAAAAATTGTAAATTTCCATTTAGTGAACTATGCGGAGTTGTGGAGGATGCATATCACCTGTTAATGGAATGTGTCCGGTACGAGCAACAGAGGGCGGCGTTGATGAGAGACCTGCAGATTAACCGATTATCCGTAGGTGCTGTTAATTGTGTGTTAAGCAACCCCCATACGGAACGGGCAAAAAAAATACTATTATTCATTAAATCGGCTCTACAGCAGCGCCACCCGGATTTGTAAAGTTTAGGTTAAGTTACGATGAAACTGTCATGTACTTTGTATAAAAGTTCCTAAATAAATAAAGATTAAAAAAAAAAAAAAAAAAAAAATTGTAAATTTCCAGGTAACGAAATGACCCTTGTTGATACAAAATTCCCACTAAACTTAACTCACATGTTAAGTGAGTGCAGCCAATTTACGGTTTTATTTATGATATTAAGTGACGGGACGAAAAAGTCGTACGTCTGGCTATAACAATTGCAGTGCCACTCAGAGCTTTAAATCGCAAAGATTTGAGGGGCACCGCCACTGCGCCCGTCACCCTGAGACATAAGTTGACAAGTCCCATGTGCCTGTAATTTCACCAGCACCCTTACCCTTCAAAACCAGAATACGGTAATGATGACATTACTGCTTGGCGGCTGAAATAGGAAAGGTGGCAGTACAACCCCGGACGAACTCTTTCACAAGGAGCTCCACTGCTACAAAAATGTGTCTATCGTGAAGCGTGTAGGATGGAACTTAGTTTTTTTTTAAAGACAATTCCGTACCATTGGTGTAGTAAAGCCACATGTAACCATACGTCAAAAGTGCTTTTATCGCATGAAAGTTGTTCAAACAAATTACGTATACATGAAATTTTATAACTGTCCCATTTAAGTGTCAAAAAATATCGACTAATTTCGTTCGTAGAATCGTTTAACCCCTCTCCTGAAAAGTTACCATTTTGCTGATATGTCCTTATTACACCAATAGTGAGAACTGATAAATATGTCTAATATTATGATTCTAAAAATAAAACATTGATTGCATTGTCCTTCTACACCCGTAAACAATGATACACACGCCAGCATATCAAGCTATACATTGACGTATTTTGTTCCGTTGCACTGGAGGCGATTTTCGAACAAAAATGTGTAGTCTGATGTGCCGTTGTCCTTACATACCGCGATACATAAAGTCGGGGATAGTGCTATTACGCGTAACTAGCATACGTTATGAAGTTGCCATTTCGGAAAGTTATTAGCCAAAATCCGCGTAAACGTCGCCGTCGTGGCAACCAAATTAGCCCGATTTACTGGAAATCTATTGTTATCAGTCCGCAAATAACTTAAATTAACGGTTACTGTGAAAATGGTGAAAGTCGTAGCCATTGAAATAACAAAGTAACAACGTTTCAACCCTCACCTGTAAAGGACAATGGGAAACTTCCACATAAATTTTTGTTTTGTTTAGGAAAAATATGTGAAAATAGTAATATAGAGTTGAAATTCCTGTACCAATTTTGATTTGGGTTTACTATTCTGAGAAGTCAGAAATTAAAGATATTCCGGTTTGATGTTTTGGAGGTTATAATAATAATAATATAGGTTATGTGTTACGTAATTGAATAAAATATATTCGGTGTATTATTGTATCAAAATAAACAGAGTTAAGAGAACCCGAATGGTGCTGTGAGTTTGTGACGTGACGAAAGTTCGGAGGAAATTATTTTGAATGCTGGTATGGTAAAAAGGCATGAAGTTAAGCCATAACAAAAAAAACTGAGATAATTAATAACATACCACAGACTATTGCACTGGTACACAAATATTTTTTTGTGAAATGTGCCATCTATCCCTGATTTTGGGAACTTTTTGTCAGTTTTACTATTTTCTTTCGTGGCATTTTGGAGAAAAAATTATCGACTTTAATTTTTTAATAATAATAATCATTTATTTCCAGACAACAAAAGTCCCGCTTCATTAGCAACAATGCAAGAATTACTACTCAAAATTTTTAAATCACAATCAAAACAAACCTCGAATCAATAAATCCAAAAATAATGAATAATACATGTTAAAATTTCAAAATAAATTAAATTAATAACAAAACCTTTAAATGTCATACTCAAAACATGAATGTCATAAAAGATTACAAATTATGCATAACATGAGCCTTGCCGCAATGAGCGCGGTACGGGCAGCGAGTCTATTTGCAATTGTGTTCAGGATGGTGTTAGAGCTGACAACTGTGTGAAGTAGTTAATAATAGGGGTTTAAATATGAAATTGCCGATTTATTTTACTGGCCACTTTAAATTAAAATTAAACCTGTATGGTGTCCGATTTCAGAGTGAAACGTTTTTCACACGAAAAGTAAAACATGCTTAACTTAAAAAACATGATATTTGATTGTTCGACTTTCAATTGTTTTTACATTCAGCTTTTAACGTGAAGACAGATACAGCGAAAATCTGAGTACCTAATTTTCGAATACGAATTTCCACATGGAGTTAACGTAGCAGAAACTGTCAATGCTGTATTTGGAGAGGATACGGCATACGCAAATACGGCAAACGCCGGCAATACGGCAAATTACGACTTGAAGAAAGAACCACGAGGAAGACCAGTCACAAATGTAAATAACGTTGAATTGAAGGTAATGAT